CAACGCCAAATTGGCTTTTATGTTTTGTATCAAATATGGCGTCAGTGGGTCTTGAATTAGCAGAAATTTATGATTTTCTTATTATCGATTGCTATCATGATTTGGGATTCGTCAAATTTTTGCGCGGATCGGTGGATTTTAGAAAAAAAATGAGCGGATCGGCGGATTCGGAGATCCCTATTCACCCCCCCCCCCCCCCCCCCCTTCAAAAATCTGCGTTGTTATTTGCCATCAACGGTTCAAACTCTTCACATTCCAAGCGATGTGTGTAGATTGTTAAGCGTTGGATCTGGGAATTGAGAGGTGGATTTGGAAGTACTAAAAACCATCAAGGCGGTTTCCCCCAAAAAAGAATCTCTTGAAGCCCTGGCACACAGACTTTATAGTCCAGTCAATCTATGAATTTTTGAGGGGTTTGCTTGAACCAGGGACGTGCTTGAACAAATTGCAACAGAATTTTTTTCACTGCAGAAATGTTCTTTAGCACTTGCTTAACAACATACTAAAAATCACCGTCAATCCCAGTGGTGGAACATATCGAAATCTAACTTTGAACTTTTCGCCATATTACACAGGGATCCCATAAATAGAAAAAATCAAAATGTTTGTACAAAGCAGCTAAATTCCATGCAATACATTATGCCCAACGTCAATATGTTCTTTTAGACCTTTGCATGATTCCAAGCAAGTAATGTGTGAAAACAAAGCCCTTTAAGCTAAAGCACAGGGATCCCATACAGAGTAATATAGTGACTTTACTTTCAAAAATAAAKAAAAAAAATACTTAACTAATGGTAATAAGCAGGAGCCCATTACTAATTATTATTAATAATGGACTCCTGTAATAAGTGGATGTCAATTTTAATAGTTATTGCCTTAAAAATTGGAACACTATGCACGTTTGCACAAGTTTGACTTAACTTGCCCAAACTTGATGAAGTTCAAGTTTTCACAAGTCAGTACATGGCAAGTTTTCACTAGATTTGCATATAAAAGTAAGTTTGAATAAGGCTTTGTAAACCGCTTTGACTCTTATGTGAAGATGACTGCTCAATTATGAGCAACATTATACGTTATATTCTTCTATATGGTTCTATCATCGTTTTTGGTTACTCCCACAGTCAAGATAAGAATAGAAAAGGTAAGTTTATTACAATTTTATTCATAGATGTCTATGGGTTTTCTTTAACAACAGCAAACATCCAACTGCATCAAACATGTTGTCTTATTAACCTAATAGGCCTTCAAGTATAGTTCAGGGAGAAATTAAATCCTATAAGGGAGTAACTATTGAATACCACACATTCAAAAAAGCATCCTAATATGAATAATTTCGATGATGTGGCTACGCATGTTAT